AAGAGGAAGTCAAAAGGTTTCTTGCATTAGTAGAAGGTACTATGTTCATGCTGGGGGCATATGTGCTCTCACTATGCTACTCCCATACTAATTCAGAGGACCTTCCAGCCTTAAAGTGGTTTTGTTATGAGTGCACAGAGACTACAGAGTGAGGGGACAAGTGAGAAAGCTCCACCGGCTCAAGAGGAATTCTGCTTACAATTCTCTGGAACCAATCTCAGAACATGCCCCAATCTATGCTGTATAGTATGGAGAAGATTGGCTGTAGTGGACGAGCTGTCACAGGCACCTTTTCTACCATGCCTGATGTTCTCAGATAAATTTCTGGGGCTGTGGAACATGCTGTGAAAACTAACTGCAAACAGGCTTAGCGTATCAAGTTTTTTAAAGTTTTAAAGTATTTGTTTATATAATATCTGAACAATTTAAAACGCATAAAGGGTCATGGCAAGGAAAGATGGTTGCGCAGACCCATTATGTCTCTCGTTTCAATGCTGAATAAAGAGACCCAGGTTTGCACAGATTACCTGAAAAACCTGAAGAAATGGTTATGCTGTGTGCCATGCTTTTAAAGAGAACATTCATCAATTCACTGGGCTTTTTCCATTTTACTGCTATATAGATTTTCAGTACACAATAGGTTTGTCACATACTCAATATCGCATACACATGTTTAGTCCTTTCAAACAATTCCAAAATAATACAAGAGTTCAGTGAAAGTTCATATTTTTCAATACAGCAACATTCTTTTTTTTCCCCATCCCCCTAGGAGGAGGTTTTTATTGGGGTTTTTTTCAGACTACAAAACTACAACAGAAAATATAGGAAAGGGAAGTACATCTAGGGAATAAAGAAAAAAGACCCACGACTAACTAAAAACCCAAGAGTAGGAGATCATACATCAGCTTAACACCATGCTATTTTCAAAAAGCTACTAATAATACAATGAACTTAGTCGGTTATGCTAGATTAATGATAGTTTAACCATCCCTTTACCTGTTAAAGAAATTCCCAGAGCATCCCCATGTTATTTCAACATTTTTTCAGGCACAAATCAGAGTCCTTCAGCCTTTATTTATTCTTATCTTTTCTAATCCTCAGTTTATAAGGGCTTTTGGGGGCAGCTGCCCCTTTTTCAGAAGGGGAGTCTTTGTCCGAAGACCCCGAGCCCAACCCGCCATCAGATTTGCTTTCTTTTTCCTCCTCTTTGCCCTCTTCTGGTTCCCCAAGCAGTGTCCGCAGAAATTCACGTGCTTTTAAAAGAGTCAATCTTTTCTTTTTTATCGTTAATCTTAAAAATGACGCCTTCTGGGGTTAACCACCTGTAACTGATGCCATTTGTTTGTAAGAAAAGGATTAATTCTTTATAGTTCTTTCTCTTCTGTCTTATATCAAATGGAATATCTTGTAAAATCCTGATATTATTGCCCCCAATTTTCAAGGGTGTTCCCGAATTTGCTTTCAAAATAGCATCTCTCACATGTCTCTTCGAGAATCTGACCATTATTTCCCCAGGAAATTATTTTTCTTGATGTACGATGAATAGGACCTGTAGACTACATCCGCTGTTAAATTTGTCATTGCGGCTATTGATTCACTCAGCCGTTGCTTCAGATTCTCTCCTTCAATTTCCGGGACCCCTTGAAACCGTAGGACCAAATTTGCTTTATCCATTTGTAGCTGTAAAAGCTTTGACTCTTTTGTAGCTTGCTTCATTTCCAGCTTTTGCACCTTTTTCTTAACTGTTTACTTTTCAAAGAAGTTGCTAAAGTTTCTGATATTTGCCCAAACGCTTTTCTGCACTCTGGTAAATCTCTTAAAACAGTTTTAGTCACTTATTTTTCCGCTCCCCCTCTTTCCTTCTGTGTTTTGTCTATGCGTTTGGGAGGGATCCCTCCCCCGCTCGCTTTCCCGTCGCTCTTTAGGGGGGGCAGCTTCTTTTTATATCTTCATGCTCGCTTCAACCCGACTCACAGTTTGTTGTTTGTCATTAGGCCTCGCTCGTCATCATTTATTTCGCCTGATCTCCAACGCTTGTCCCGGTCAGCAGCACTCGTACCATGCGGTCACTCAGCAGCAGGACCTTCAGGGCGGAGGGGAGCCTCAATTCTTCAGCTTTCGGCCATCAAAGAGGTTGCCCCTCAAAATCCCCTTGGCTGGGAGTCTTTTAGCAAGGCTCCAGGGGGGTCACGACCTGTCGAACCCCCTCCCACACGCTGGTGTGCAGTTTACATCCCTGGGACATCTGGGAGATGTGTCTGCCTGCATGTCGCCATAAACCGGAAGCTCCAATACAGCAACATTCTGATCCAATTAAAGTCATATTTTATTCACACTGCCACCATATATGCAAAAGATTTCTTAATTCCCTATTATATTACCAGCTATTTGAATGGAGTCAGATACTACTCAATGATGACTTTACTTATATCAGTTCTCCTCTAGGGTGTCAGACCAGTTTTGAAACAATATTAGACTACAGCCAACTGCATATGTATTTTGGGATGCTCATATTCAGATCTCACCCCCCTGATACCAACGAATAGAGGAGGAGGAGAGGAGGAGGAGATTGGATTTACACTCCGCCCTTCACTCAGAGTCTCAGAGCAGCTTGCAAACTCCTTTCCCTTCCTCTCCCCACAACAGACACCCTGTGAGGTAGGTGGGGCTGAGAGAGCTCTGACAGAAACTGCTCTTTCAAGGACAGCTCTGAAAGAACTATGGCTTGCCCAAGGTCATCCAGCAGCTGCAAGTGGAGGAGTAGGTAATCAAACTCAGTTCTCCCAGATTAGAGTCCGCACACTTAACCGCTACATCAAACTGGCTCCATTATTTCTTCATATAATGAGTTTCACTTTTAATCCTACCAAAGCAGGCTTTTCCAAAACCAGTTGTATCAAAGTTAGAGGAATAGCTATATATCTAAGATGACATATTGATACCTCTCTTTCTCAATTTAATTTGCATTAATTTTCAAATGGGTTCCTTGCAATACCATCCCTCCTCTTCCGAATACGGTTTCATGATGGGTCATCCTCGCACAACCACATAACACATAACACAACCTCACACAACCACATAATATATACACGTTAATCTCATGAACCTTCCAATAGCATGAATTCTAGTTCTAATCAAAGTACAACTACAGTGAGGGCCACAGGATCCAATATAGGGTTCACATCATAATTTAGACCCCCCCCATTTTCCCCCCACACACAAGTTTTCAAGAAAAAAAAGCACTGAAGCAGTGATAAAATGTTGCACTGGATTCTATAGTCCATTTCCATGGGTACAAGAGTGCTTAAGGAAGCAGTTTCTGCTGATTCCTTTCCCTTATTTATTTAAAACTGCCTTTCTACCACACAGGAACTCAAGGTGGCTTACAATATAAATGACAATAATACACAATAAAATACATAAAACCACTCATTTGAAATTAATAATTTAAAACTGTTGAAAGGCAGAATAACTGAAATTAACTGAATGCCATCTGAATAAAACAGACTTCAGCTGCCTAACATGAACACGAATCAGACCCTTGGCCCATTAAATCAGTACTGTCTACTCAGATTACCAGTGGCTCTCTAAGGCAGCGATGTCGAACTCATTTTTTATGAGGGCCAGATCTGACATAAATGAGACCTTGTTGGGACGGGCCATGTGTGTCATAAAATGTAATGCCATGTAGCGGAGATATAAACTTTATAAAGGACACAAACACAAAGATTTCTTTACTTAAAATAAAAACATGCTTAAAACATTAGCTCTGTAAGCTGCAAATCTACTTTTGATTTATTGACATTCACCACTGAAATCTCATGCTCAGAGTTCTGAGTCTAGGACCCAGGTTAAAACATGAAATGGCTGAGTGATTAAGAGAGTCTAGCAAAGCAAGCTATGATGCAGCAGCAGCAGCAGAACTGGAAGCAGGAGATGGCCAGTTCCACTGCGGGCCTGATGGAAGCCCTCTGGGGGCCTGATATGGCCCCCGGGCCACATGTTTGACACCCCTGCTCTAAGGTCTCCAGTAAAGGTCTTTTCACATCACCTACTGCCAGATCTTTTAATGCTTTTATACACCCTGTTGAGAAGTGCTTTTCTTGGGGTGATACTGCTGATATTATATTATTTTTATGATTTATGGTTTCATTATTAAGATTTTAATGTTATGACTTATTTTTGATGTTTGAAAATGGTCTTGATTTTAAGGAAGGCAGCAGATAAATTCCTAAAAGAAAATCATATTTAATTAAGATTGTGCCTCTCATGCTGTTAGTTCTTCGAAATAGTTTTATGCCTACCTCAATAGTTTCTAAGAAAGCATCTAATTAAATTATGCTATGTTCTTAAGAACGCCTTTTATTGTTACTATGATTTCTGATCTAATACTAATTTTAGGAAGTTATGTAGCAGAAGGTATAATTTTTGATTAAACATGCTAAGTCTTCCCCTCCAATATGCTATAAATTCTTATGGCTTGGCAGCAGGGTAATATCCCCTTACCACCTTTTTTTACCTATCAACTGCTGTCAACATTCTATGCCTCTTGAAACATATTCTGACAGATTTGGTGGGTTTCCCACCTCTTCTGATTAATTTAGAAAGTTGTATCTTTCTACACAATTAGGGAGTCTTCCAGGGACTTGGAAACCACTAAGTTATTGGTGGTTGGCCTGGATTTGCTGCTTACATGACTGTCATAAGCCATACACCTTGCTATTAGATGCAGCAATGTAAACAAGGTCAACACTTGATCATCAAGAGCCACCATTGCCAGTGAATTCTCAGAACTCCTCTAGTTCAGTGCTAGGGCTGAACTAGGTGAAGAAATAAGAAAGGGTCAATAAAGACAATTTACCAAGTGTCTGATACATGACCATTTTATAAAGTTAATGCATGAAACTTAAAATAAAATTAAATACGGCTAATAGTAAGAACAGAAAAACAAATATACTCTACACACACTTCAGAAACCAGCATCTGATGCCAACACTCACCATCTGAATGGGTTTCTTGTGCAAGTCTCTTTCTGTTACCAATTTCTCTTGGTCAGTGACATACAAGCCTTTCTGTGCCAAGGCCTGGATAACAGCATCATGACCCAGGAGTGGTTTGGCAGCATCACTCTTGAGAATAAGACTCCCAGCACGACAGTAAAGTTCAGCTGATAGCAGCAAATTAACAACAGGAGGTTTAATATGTTCCTGGTCATACTGATCCGTATAAAAAGGCTCTCGCAGTTCCTCTGGTACATTTTCTGGAAAAAGAAATAAACCAAATTAAAGAGAGTCTGCTTAGCAGAAAAAGTACTTTCAGATAATCTGCTTATAATTTTGTTTCTTGTTTTGTCGCTGTTCTAGTACTATAGTACTGAAGAATAAACATCTAATACCATAATTTTCATGAAGTCAAATGTTTCCATGCTGCAATGTTTGCCAAGACAACATCTATGAAGTAGTGTTTCATAAATGACTCCTTTTAGAAATGCAACAGAAGACTAATGTGCTGTAGTCAAATGTGAGTGTTGAATAACAAATGCTATCCAACTAGAACCTGATCAAATCACTCTTTACCTTGGTTATTTCCTCCAAAACACAGGAAAAAAGATGAGTTCTGTCCAACTAAAAAGAAAGGCCTCCTTTCATATCCAGAATATGTACTTCTCTTTTCTTGTCATTAGTAGAAGTTAGAACAAAACTGACAATGTATAGGGCTGCCAACTCTGGCCTGGGAAATTCCTGGAAATTTGGGGGCAGTGCCTGTGGGGAGGAATTTGGGGGCGGATTCTACTTAGAATCTACAGTACACTATACAGTCTGCCCTCTGAAGCTGCCATTTCCTTTCAGGGGAACTAGTCTCTGCAGATCAGTTATAATTCAAGGAGAATTCCAGGCCCCATTTTAGGCTTGCCAGGTACCCACCTATAGTGAGCAAACTCCTGGTAGTTTTGGCTACCTGCATCAGGGCAACATTCTAGCACTTGCCCAAAAATGATACAGTTTCCACAGAGTTTTTGGGCGAGTGCTAGAGCATAGCCCCGCCACAATGCCAGCACGTCTGGGGTGTGCCGGACGTGACATCATCACATGCTGAAGGTAACTGCTGAGTACCCCATGGTAAGTACCCACCTTCCCCATCTCTCACCAGTTCAGGCCCATAGCTATGGTGGGACATCTCAGGGCCCCGTCCCCTTAATTTAAAGCCACGCCCCACAGTTTGCAGTGGAAAACTTGTGCACCCTGATAAAATTTTGTCCCTGTAAGCTATTCCAATGCATTCTGAGCCTGAAGACTACATTTCCCACCAACCCGTGTGGCCTGTGCTTCTAGGGGGCAGGTAAAGTGGTCAAATGGGGGAAAGCGTATCTGACATGCAGCTGAGCTTCAGTATCCTTAAAGGGGCCACTGCAGTAGGGGAGCGTACTTGGGGGAAAGCTATTAAAGGAAAACAGGATCATAATTGAAGAGGGTGGTGGAAGCATGGAAAGGGGTGAAGGGCAAGAGAGGAGGGAAATGGGGCACCTGGGAAAGAAGGGGCTTGGATCAGGAAAGAGGTCCAAGAGGCATGTGTGGGGAAGGAAACAGGTGGCTTGGTTGCTTGGACAGCAGGGAGGATTCAAAAGGCTTTGATTCTGTATTGCTTATGACTAGTGAATCAACCTTGGGAAGGGCTGGGAGGGGAACGGGTGCCAAGCTGGGTGGATATGAAGGGGGGGGGATGAAACAGAAAATTAGATTTCTTCTGAATGCCATGCGAACACACTGCCTTGCATGCTTCAGCATACTTGCATGTTATATATGTATAACCTAGCTACTTCCAGCGTATTGATCACATGCAGCATTGTACATATATCCATAGACATAACATATTATTTTTACAAAGCCCTTCACTCCCTCATAATGGTTGCCCCACAAGAAAAAAATATGCCCCACAAAACAAAAAATCCTGCTGATTGGTTGCCAGGCCATGCAACCCTATGGACCCACCTGGCAGCCCTTCTTGTGATATTTTAACTTAGCTATCTACAGTAAGGATGCGGCTAGTTCTCAATTCCTTTGTGAATCACATGAAATTTAAAAGGTATTTTTCTCTGGATGTTTTCTCCCTTTCCTTAGACAATTAAATTCTAGGCTAAGGCGCAGTTTTCACTGAGGCAGCCAATTCACGGTTTTGTAAGTTTGGGGTGTACCACTTCAAACAGCAGATGGGGGCTCACATGATTTAAATGATCACTGTTTTCTCTGAGTGGGGCACACCGAGGAGACAACTAGCATGCTAGTTTTTCTTCTCTTCCCAGCATGCTAGTTTTCTATGAGGAAACTGTTTTGTACAGTGGAATATGCCACTATGTGAGCCTTCAAGCAGTCTGAAATGACAGCTCCAGGTGGGTTTATCACCTGACCTTAGAGAGAACAAGGCCTGAAATGAAGCCTTCATAGGAAAGGACAAACAACTTGACTAAAGTTTAACTGTCTGACAAATCTCTAATTTACTTTTTCAGCTGACTCGAGCTGGAAGAAAAGACCGCTAAGGCACTGCAGAGTACAGAATGTATTGACCAGAGCAGGGGAACGATCCCTTAACCTGGGCACTTGGCTTTAAGGGCCTGTTTATTATATATGTGATTTATTCTAAAGGAAAGTACAGTGTTACAAAAACAGAAACTTTGGTGTGGTGGTCTGAGGATTTGTATGGCAGATTTTAATACAGGCTTTATGTTTATGGTAAAATTTGTATCAGACTGGATCTGTAAACTGAACAATTTGAAATTGAACTGTTCTTGATGATGTAGTGGCATTTTGTCAGATGTGTGCAACACAACATCTGAATGCTGCTTAACTAATAATATGTAAAAGAATTAGTACTACTCAAGCAGGGATGGTGTTTTCTAAATATGAGGATTAATCCTTTGCGCAGCTGTTGACAAAAGCCTGTTAATGCTCGCAAATTGGAAAGTCGGCAGGAGGCATGTTTTTACAGGAAATACGTTATACTACCCTACAAAAGAAAATTAGCCAGATCGCCATAGTATCTGAATTATGAGAGAGTGGGAAATCCATCCTATAAATGCTCTGTATGGATTTACATGACATGAGGTTAAGTAAAAGTACTTCAGATGAGTTAGGAAAAGCATGTGGTAATGCTGCTGCTGTAGATAACTTCGTATACACAGTTCTTGGACACTCTACAAAAGAATGCAGAAAAGCCTACAGTTTATTTGACATAGTAAACAGCAGCCACAGAAAAGCAACCAGAAGAAGGCAGGACATATTCATTATTAATGAAACAAATTGTTGCATTAATAAAACAGATTTGTTGCATCTATGAAACTAAGTACTGAAAACAAAAGCTTTCATATCTCATTTAAAACTGCCATTCATTTGAAACAGCATTCATTCTATGAACAAAGACAGTAAAGCTGAGGAATACAGAAAAGTCTGTCAGGTAGGTCAGCAGCCACGGCATACAACACCTTTTGTCAATTAATGACATCTAAATCCAATAAACAAGGTAATGTGCAGAAAAGAGAAAGTGTTGTCTCCCTGAATAGCAGACTGGTTGAGGCCCTTGCAAGGTAAGCCAAACTAAAGAGCAACAAAGTCAAAGAAAGACTTGTAGAAGCTGACCAAAAGAAAATGTACATCTTTTATGGAAACTGAACTCTGTTTACCATATCAATTCTGCTCATTTAGACACTGGGTCGAAAGAATTTTATTTCATTTTTAGGTCATTTTTGTTTGTCTTGTGTACCTACTAAAATAATTTTAGATGTTAAAAAGTATACCTGTACTTGTTTATTCAGATGTTACATAGGGTCACCAATTTTTAAACTGGTCTTTCTAGCTGACTCTTTATTATCAGTTTGATCTGCAATTACTAGGTGACATTATTTAACTTCATGCCATGAAAACCATCAACTGCTCATTTTCATTCATTAAACCTTCATTAAACACGGACTTCCCCCCGTCTAGTTGGCAACCTTACTGTCACACCAAACCACAGTTAACAAACTAGGTACAGATTATGCTTTAGAACAGTGGTCTTCAATCTTTCCCAACCCAGGAGGACCCCTACTTTACTCCTGATAGAAGCCAAGCGCATGGCAAGAAGTCACACGACCTTAGTCATGTGACAGGATAGAGGAAGTGCAGCAGCTTCTGACCCTACCATTACCAAAAAGAAAACCTCTCCATTACTGAGTGACCTTGCATTACCTACCTGCTGCTCCTCTCAGTATGCATCTAGACAGGCAGGAGGCACAGTATCTTTGTTCCATTATGTATGTGTGGTAGCTGCTGCTCATTAAAAAAAAACCCGAACACATACAGCAGACTGGACAAGGGCTTGCAACCCATGGGATGAAACTCGCTGATTAAAAAAACTACAGAGTTTGTTGGGCAGCCTACATTCAAACACTGCACAGAATTAATCAAATCATGGCTTTTAAACTATAGTTTATCATGATGTCAAAATGTCTTAGATCTTGCAGCTGGGGAAGTAAATCACATGAAGTGATCACCACATGTGCTAGTTTTCTGTTTGTAGGATTTTTACTTTTGTATACAAGACTATTGTCATGACAGCCCCCATTTACAGTCTCAAGTGGTAGAGATCAGATGCAGGTTTTCTTCTTCATCTTCTGTTTGTAAGAAGCACGCTTCCCCCCCCACACACACACACACTTTCTCAGCCCACAAAATTGAACTATAGTAAAAAACATGATCTTCAAATATGTGAACAGTCAAGTCCTTCACTTCGACAGGAGCACTACAGTGATATGCTGAAATGAGAAAAGCTGCAGACTACAGCAACAACATAAACTTGAAGCCATAAAATAATAATATTGGGGAAAAGCACAAGCCAAAAAGGAAAACCGAGGCACTGAGATGCAGTGGTCTCCAACTTTTAAAGCACATCTATTTTAGAGGTCATTGTTAAGAATCGTGTGGTTTGCTTTTTTTTAATCAGAACCCACAGTTCAATCATAAATTAATAACAGATAATTAAGTAGTTAGAGCAAGTTATTTACAGTGCAACTACAGCTGGCCAGAAGTGATGAGAAAATGTTGCGACTTTAGATTACTTTAAAAAAACACATGAATCTTGGTAAAGAAGAAGAAGAGATTGGATTTATACCCCACCCTTCACTCGGAGTCTCAGAGCAGCTTACAAACTCCTTTCCCTTCCCCTCCCCACAACAGAAGCCCTGTGAGGTAGGTGGGGTTGAGAGAGCTCTGAGAGAACTGCTCATTTTCA